CTCCTCCTCCTCCTCCTCCTCCTCCTCTTCTTCTTCTTCTTCTTCTTCTTCTTCTTCTTCTTCTTCTTCTTCTTCTTCTTCTTCTTCTTCTTCTCCTTCTCCTTCTCCTTCTCCTTCTCCTCCCTCTCCCTCTCCCTCTCTCTCTCCCTCTCCCTCTCCTCCTCCTCCTCCTTCCCCTTCTCCTTCTCCTTGTCTTCTTCCCCCTTTCCCTCCTCCTTCTTCTCCCTCTTCCTCCTCCTCCTCCTCCTTCTTCTTCTTCTCCTTGTCTTCTTTCCCCTCTTCCTCCTTCTTCTTCCTCTTCTTCCTCCTCCTCCTCCTTCTCCTTCTTCTCTTCCTTCTCCTACTTCTTCTGTACTGGGAATGGAGCTCAGGACTTTGACTTTGCACTTGCCAGGCAGACATTGTGCTTCTGAGCTATCTCCCCAGACCCATGCCATTTTCTTATAACACATCTTGACAACCGGGTATTCCAGGGAATACAGTTTGGGTAATTTAAGTCTTAGAAAAAACTGTATCTCCTTTTTATCAGACAATATGAAAACTTCAAGATACGATACCTGTTATATTGGCCATACCTCAGATAGAAGATAAAAATCATATCTTTAATGACTTTTAATCACTGGTGTCTGCTAATAGGTTACTCAAAAAGTGTTTATTCCAACTTTCCTTCTGGACTCTTGGGTTCTCCAAAGTAACAGATACTGGAAACAGTTAAGATATATATGGCCCAAATAACCATAGTCCTTGATTCTCTAGCCTAGAACAAAAGCAATGCTCTGAATTAAAATTGTCTAGAATTAGCTGGATGAGCCCCTACTGATACAAGAGCCCCCTCCTACATCAGCTTCTTCCTGCAGGTTGAACACCCAGAGCAATGGACAGGCTCACTTTTCCGTGGTTGACAATCTTCCTCATCATGTCAGTTACTTTCTCGGGACCTCCTCCAGCTCCATCGCACCATTCTCAGGCAGGTCTCTGCCTTCCCAGCGTGCATCCACAATTCTTCCGAATGACTGACAGGTGCATACCTACCACCCACCACCCTAATCCCTGAGTTCTGGGGAATCATTCCATCCCAGGCTCCAGGAAGGAATGTGACCAGTTGGCCAACCAGTTCATCAGCTCTCACAGTCTACTGAGATTAGTGGGGATCTCGCTCAGGCATGGAGTCACTGCTAAGAGGAAGCCTTCTGTTTTTAACTAGACAACAGGTGAGCCTTATGGGTTGGTATCATCTTGCTAGCCAAGGGGGTAGTGTGCCTGTGAATTAACAGGAAGAGGCCATAGCCAAGGTGCGAGTGAGAGGCTGCTGCACTGCCTTGTTGGAGCTTAGAGCTCAGACCTCCCTAGAGTCTTACCTATTGCGGGACTTTGCAAATATATGAACCAATCGTTTTCCTTTTTGTTCATGTTAACTTAAGCTGAGTCTCTGAGACTAATAAAATATGCGATATGCTGGCTGCCATGGTTGATAACTCTACTCTCTATTGTTTATTTTCTTTCCTTCACTTTCTAAAATTACCTTTCTAGTCACTACCTTTCTTGTTTTGGAGTCTTCCTCAGAACACTTCCTCAAAATCACAAATAAATAACACAGCGAATGTTCTGCTAACCTCTCACATCTGCCACCCCTCCCCAACAAGCTATTCCTTCTCCAGACCCTTTATCTAACTCCTCCCCATCTGGGAGGGACAACAGGTCATCCACAGCTAAGGACCTGCACAGTCCTGCTACATTTAGGCTGTTACTGAACTAAAACAAATAACTAGAAAACAATTCAGGGTTCAGTGTTATAATTCAGTCTCTCAGGCCTTGGACTCAAAGGAGATGAACATTGAATTTCATGAACTAATCTTGGCTCATTATGAACACTTTGTGGACAGATGGTAAGGAAGAGCTTATCACCTACTCCATGCCCTGGAGCTCGCTCTTCTCAAACTGGGGGGCAAAACTCCTGCAGCGGATGATACATTTTGTCAACTTGAGAAGTTAAAAGCTTAGCTAAATCCAGCAATTCCCCACTGTAGGGCGTGGAGGTCCTGCACTAGGGTGTGGAGGCCCCACTCTGGAATGGCTCATCATGTAAAGGATATAAAAGGGAACTGAGGAAGGATGGAGCATTCCACTTCCTCTGAGGAGCTCCAGTCTTTGCAGGCAGCTTGGAGGTCATCTCCTGGCTTCTAGCGCAGACTCTTCAGCCTCTGTCTTGGATCCTTTAGCCTCCTGGTGTAGACTCATCAGCTTTCTGTTGCAGGCCCATCAGCCTCCTGATATGGACTTGCACAGAACACTGCAGTGAGCTACAGAACATGAACTGAATCCTTCAGTCTCAGGTGTGCAGACGCCCTCTGCACGCTTCCTCATCCGACTCTGTGGCTGACCATCATAAGCCACTCTTGTAATTTTTTATACATTGTACATTTTGTGTTATATCTGTTCTTCTAGTAAAACTCTGACTGATAAAACTGGCAAGGAAAAACACGTTACCTCCTACTGAAGCTGAGTTTCAAAATGTAAAATGCAAGCTGGAGAACTAAGAATCTCCATCTTGACCTTCCATCCTTCCTCTGGACCATGACCAGTCATGCAGCTGCTTCTCTCAGCAGGCCTGGAAGGCCTTCTCTGCCCATGCTGGGAGGACACAGGGCAGAGAAGTTGACAGCTCCTTGGCCTTCACAGTTTTTCCCCGTTCTGCAGCATAGGCCTCATCAGGGAAGCTCTGCATAGGCCTGAGCGCTTGTGTCTTTCTCCTCTTCCAGCTGCTGGCTTGGATCTGCTCCTTGTGAGGTGCAGATTCCCCAGGAAATCCAGCCAGCCTCTATGGCAGGGCCAGGGTAGATTTTTCTAGACACAGAGCCAGCACTTACTGTCCTCTTGCTACACAAGGATGAGCTCAGCAAGAGCCCAACTGTATTAGCCAAGCTGTAGCACTGCTGAAGGAAAGGCCCACCGTGTAACATGTCCAGACATTAACATCCTTGTGTGACCTCAGGGCACATGGCCAGTGCCCCACAGGGCACCCTCCCCAGTAGATCCCCTACTTTGGAACTGCCTGGCCTGTTTCCTGCAAAGAGCAGCATAAGGAAGATAACAGAAGACTCAAGGAAAACAAAAGTGCTTTGGAGACACATGTGGATGCATGTGCATACACACATGGGCACATATGGCTCACACATGAGGTAGATTCATACATATGTATTGTCATGGCATACATCTGGAGTGGCCTCTCAAGTCCTCATGTGTTCAGGGGTAGGGGTTTTGGAAGGTGACTGGATCATGAGGTGCTGCACTCCTGCGTGGATTCACCCTCTGGTGAGTTTAGCAGCCAAGAGTGCTCTAGGGAGTCAAGGCCGGGCTGAAAGAAGCCAGTCAGTCAGTGGGGGCCAAACCTGGAAGAACGGGTCTCCCTCCCCAGGTCCTCCCTTCCCTCTTCTTCCTAACCACCACAACCTGAGCAGCTCTTCTCCGTTCATGTACCATTTGTGCCTTTCAGCCAGCTGATCCAGGACTGGCCACCTGAGCCAAAATCGGCCTCTCCTACTTAATGTATGGGGGTCAGGGACTGTGCCTTGGGGACCAAAAAGTGACCGGGGCGTGTGCACATGTATATATACTACATTTTAAAATGCCTAAATTCTAAACATGCATGAGAGTTAGTTCAGGAAACATAAAAATGCCCTGGGGATGTGTGCGCACACATGTGATATCACGTACACATAATATACGCTGCCACAAATTCCTTGACAATGGGGATGCATTCCAAGAAATGCATCATTAGGCAATTTTGTCATCATGTGAATATCACAGGTGTACTTACACAAACTGAGACAGCTGCAACGTTACTAGACAATGCGATCTTATGAGAACACTGCCTTACGTGCGCTCTGTTGTCAGTCAAATTATTATGTGATATCATGCTGTTCAGGAAGTGTGGCAGACCTTTAGGAAGCAGGGCCTCAGGGAAGGTCCCTGGGGTGCATCCCTTAAGGAAGGCGTGGGCTCTTGTTCCTTCTACATTTTCTTCTGCTTTCTGGCTATGAGGTAAGAAGTTTGCTGTACCACATGTCCCCTACTTCTGTCATCCCAGAAGCCTAAAAAGCAATAATTACACAGACAAGTGTAAGTAATATCTTCAATGGTACACTACCAACTGCATTTAAATATTTATTTATAATTTTCTTATGTTTAGAGAATAGCCAGTGTAGGACTCAAATTTTTAGAAGCTAACCCAGGTATATGCTCTGCCACAACTGATCCTCTCATTCATCTTTTGCCCAGAAAAATGGGTAAAGGATTTGGAGGTGTGTGTGTGTGGATTAGTCCCAGCTCACCCACAGACCTGAGAATAAGCCTGGATTCTGAGGGAAAGAAAGCAGTAGAGATTTCTCTTGGAAGAAAATGTAGTACAGCATGTGAGGGAGCAAAGCTGGTCTAGTAGTGGTGGGGCTGTGGAGGGGTAGGAAGGTGTGATGTCACAGGCGAGCCCCTCTGCCCACCCATCTAGGACCAACAGCACCATCTGCATTCCTCCCAGGCAGGGACTAGAAGGCCTCCTGCTTCCTTCTTCCTGTGCCCCTCTCTCCTCCTGCACCCTATACTGAGCCGTTCCTCCTTCACCCTATACTGAGCCGTGGGTCTGGACCCCAGCTGTTACACACCTGGCTGGGATGGGCAATGGGCAGTCCTCATTTTGAATGGGTGGAAGTCTGCTTTCTTGAAGCAGTCTGTGAAGGAGGTACAAACAAGAGAGAAATGTCTCCTCACACATAAGCAGGCAGCTCCTTGCTACTAAAACCTGAGGGAAGGCCACAGGGAGACAGATGTTCAGGGAGCCACATTCAATGCCATTCCTGATCAAATAGACGGAATCTGAATAACACAGTAGTCTCACCAGAGTTTGTTTGGCAGTAGGTCATACAACAGACTAACAGTCTCAGTCCTGGTATTCACATTCTAGCAAGGCACACATGAGAAAAGAATCTGTATACCTTTAAGGGCAAGAATGCTTTTTAATGTTCCCAAATCTCCAACCTTTCTTTCTATCATAGAGGGTCCAACCAATCCTGCCTTGTCGAATTTTCTACCTGATATTCACCTCTCAAAGTTACTCACAATAAATAAATAAATAAATAAATAAATAAATCCCACTACTTGGTGAATAAAATAGAAAACCCAAGCAAAAAAAACAAAGGAATTCCATTTTATTGAGCAGAGAGGAAAACCTAACCCAAGACTACATATGTAATCACCTCATTTGATTTTCACAAGTATAACCTAAAAGACAGGGACCAGGGAGATGGCTCAGTAGAATAAGCACTTGCCTGACAAGTCAAAGGGCCTGAGTTCAACCCCCGATTCTGTCAAAAAAAAAAAAAAAAAAAAAAAAAAGGATAACCTAAAAGAAAAAAGAGCATTGAACAAGCAAGCAGCAGTGAAATTCTTGTCTATATAGTGTCCTGTATCCCAGGATACTAACTATATCCAACATGGATGAAAGACAAAAACAATACCTAGCTGTTTCTCTACAAGAAGACGCCAGCCACTGATAGCACTGCCACCACCAATCCCCTGGAATCTGGTAGAAACTCTGAGCACAACCAGATCAGCCACCCAGGAGGGGAGGGCAAGAAGGGTCTCCAGGGTTTGTTGAGCATTTACACATGTGCAACCAGTACACATTGCATCAGAAACTACAGATGTGGCCATGCCCTTCAGAGGCTTATGCTTCAACAGTACAAACGGACACACATGAAAGATAGCAGAGAGAAAGCCCAGCTCCAGTGCATGGCAGCAGACTCTGCCTCCTCCTGGAGCCCAGGAGGAAAAGGCCAAGGAGGTCCATCATTGATGAAAAGCTTAGTAACAGCTTTGAATCTGGAAAATTGAGAGCTCAAATCAGCAAGTGCCACAAGCCAGCTATGAGAGCTTGTGTGCAACATAAACCTCTATGATCTTCTGTCCCATTGAAGGAAAACACACATCATCCACTTTTATTTGAGAGATAGTAATCAGATTTGTGAAATGTGTAGCATTGGTGCAGGTCACTTGAAGCACCAGAAGATAGGACCCTTGTCACCCCCAGATTCAACACTCACTCTCAGAACCCCAGCTACACACAGCCACCAGGAAGTAAAGCAGAATCACTTCACTGCTGCTGCTTATTTTGAGATGAGATTCAGGAAGACAAGTGAAAGAGGGACAGAGAAAGAGTCTCTGAGTTGCTTTTTTTTTTTTTTTTTTTTTTTGGACAACCGGGGATTGAACTCAGGCCCTTGCGCTTGCCAGGGAAGCGCTTATTCCACTGAGCCATCTCCCCGGCCCCCAAACGCTTTTTTTTTTTTTTTTGCAGAACCTTGTGCTTGCCAGAGAAGTGCTTATTCCACTGCGCCATCTCCCCGGCCCCAAGATCATTTCTATGTGTCAATAAGTGAGGAAGCATTTTCATTAACAAACACCATATAGGGAGAAA